ACCTTAAAAGTGCCAATTATAAAGTGGATAATCTTAGCGACTGGAGAAATGTACAGCAAAATGAATTATTAACGTGGTCTCTCAGTCAAAAAATCAAATCTCTGTTCTACTTTGCCAAGCTTTCGCTTCTAATGCCAAGCTTCTTCAGGGCCTATAATTTATTGAGTTGTTGGTTTTTTTGCCATCGAAAAACATTACAATTCATACTTACAGTAAAAATGAGTTAAAAACAATAAATTGAACATATAAACTGACGGAGAAGGTTGAACATGTAAAAGATTTTTTGGTTTTGACAAATGTCATACCTTCACATAAATGTCATTTTTCAATGGGTATGATGATTTCAGAATCTTTGACATCATACCCATTAAAAAATGACATTTATGTGAAGGTATGACATTTGTCAAAACCAAAACATCTCATACATATTCAACCTTCTCCGCCAGTTTATATGTTCAATTCATTGTTTTAACTCATTTTTACTGTAAGTATGAATTGTAATGTTTTTCGATGGCAAAAAAACTAACAACTCAATAAATTATAGGCCCTGAAGAAGCTTTCCATTAGAAGCGAAAGCTTGGCAAAGTAGAACAGAGATTTGATTTTTGATTTTTTGACTGAGAGACCCCGTTAATCCATTTTGCTGTACATTTCTCCAGTCGCTAAGATTATCCAATTTATATATTCATATATAGATATACTACTGTAGACTCTCTCATTTTTGAACAGATTATAGTAGCCACAGACTTCGATATAGACCATAAGGTATGCAATCTGAATAGTATATAAGGTGTACAGAAAACATATCTGGTGTACATTCAGGGTTTTTACCCATGAAATATCACGGACATTTATAATTTCTTAAATTTATAACTTTACTATCGCACAACTCTTTCTAATGAAACCGTGTATCAGAAATTCTCGCTCATGATGGAAAACGTTTCTGTAGTTCAAAAACTAATTGCCTATTCATTCTGACTATTTTTGAAAGATCGTGAACCGTCGAAAAAAAAAAAACTTCCCATTTTCGATTGTGACAATGGTCCGACCCTTGGATTTAGAATTACCTAATCCAAAAAGGCCTCTGAGACCCCGTATGTATGTTTGGGTGTATATACAGGGTGTATCACAATAGGTTGAAGGACAATAACTGCTTTCCGAAAAAGCTGTAAGGATTAATGAAGATTATGTTTGAATAATCATTACTAATATACCAATATACTTATGTTTTCTCAAATATTATACTTCTGATATTTTCACTCCATTGAATTTCTTGGGCAGAGTACTTCTCAAAAATTTAGGGTTGCTTGGGTTTATAAAGAGTGATTCAGAAGTTATAGTGAAATTCAACATCAAAAATCTCCTATTCGATCTAATGGAATGAGGAAATTTTTTAATAAAATATCGGTAAGGATAGTGTATTTTCATTTCATCTTCAAAAGTTTACCAAACAGTTTTTATATGGGGGTTAACAAAACCCGGGAACACCTTTTCCTCAGTTTTCTCAAATAGCACACCCTTCACATAAACCCATCCCAAAATAATTCACTCTATGAGCTTTCAGAAAATGAAGGGATTGACTACTTCATTTCCATCATTAATCAAATCTATTGTAACAAATTGAAGAATTTACTGTCACAAACAAATTCATTTCCAACAATATTTCACTATCACATGAATCAGCGTGCAACTTTTGCAGCACGTATAGTTTCAAAATTGAATAAATAATGGAAAAAAAATGTCTTCGATATTTTTATGCTCTTGGTTGTTTTTATAATTCTAATAACTTTCAAGAAAAAAATTGAGCTAAGTTGCGAATCTGTTCATAACAAATTATTGAGTATATTTATATATCTGTTTGAAATGTGTTTTCCGTTAACCAGCTGTTGCACCCCTACAATGAGTAGCATGCACCAATTGCAAATAAACAAATACTGATCAAAGTGAAGTCAGGGTTTTTTCTCGCTCATATGAAAGTTGGTGACACGGTTCTAATTCCACCTCTAATGAATAATGCTGGTTTTATTCAAATTATGATGTAGTTGCTGGCTGAGCATATTCATTTCCGAAACCATGTACGAAGCAACTCCAAAAAATCAGGTTACGGTCTAGTATCTGGTGAGATCATATTGATGTGCATTTTTACCAACGGTAAGAAATCTAAACGGTAAAAATTGTTTACAACTTTTTTTCGATGGAATTACCTCCAGGATAATCAAAATGCCAAAAACAACCCCACAGAAGACGAGTTAGTGTTTATTCGGATACACACCTCCACATAATGTTACTCCTGTTCGCCAGTTCTTGAACGAAGAGTTTCCTGGTTAGTAGCAGGAGAAGTATCGTAGAATGGTCTACTAGATTACCCTTTCTCATACCGTTGGACTTTTTTAAAGACTTAAAAAGTGAAGCATCATTCATAATTCTGTATGATGGTCAACGGTGGTCAGATACAGAAGTTGCTTCAGAGGGTAGGAGGATGAAGTGACACTGACTTTGGCAACAAAATACATTTACAAGCAATTGGAACATGATTTAATCTTCATAATTTTCATTTTCAAAATTGCACATGTTTCGCTCTCACAGTAGCATTTTCGTAGTGAATAACAAGTATGTTATTCAGTAGTTTTCCATCATTGAATAAAAAATGTAGAGAACTCACGAACATAACCAATCAGTACACACTAAATGAAAAAAAGTGATTTGCGTGTAATTCAATGTTGAAATGAAAGTTGTTGTCAATGTGGCAGGAGTCATTTATTCGAATGTTTATTTTTTTCAGTTTGTATCTGAAAAAAACTTTTCTGTATACTCTACATGTTTTCATAAAGAGATTTCATTGTAACAATTTTTTTTTCCTTTTTTTGAAAGGAAAAGAAAAGATTCATATTGTTTTTTTTAGTTAATATATTTTTTGTTAACTATGGGTATGGTACTTACTTCTTCTTATACCTACCGTATATTGAAAATGAAAAAAATACTTTTTCCAATATATCTAATGTAACTGATCCAGAATGCAAAGTTGATGAATTCGTTAAGGAAGAAAGTCATATGTTAATTAAAAGCACTTCTAATCATATAGACATGAAAAGATTTCAAACTTCTTGTATATGAAATATAAAAAAAATTAACTTTTCCACCCTTTGGCAAGAACCTATTTACAATATATCACATTCGGATATCGATTTTTTATGCATGACAACTCCATATTTGAAACCATGGAAACGTTTACTTCATAATTGATAAAGTGTAACTTCATAATTTTGAGCTAATAAAACTGAGGACTTTAAATATTTCAATAAAGAAATATCTAGAAAAATGAGTTCAAGATGCCCGGACTTACCATTTTTACCTGGATATACATTCAATCCAAATGTAAGTACAAAATGAATATGCAGGTTTTTATCAGTCCTTCGTTATATCTTCTATTTCTCCGCACAGATTGGAAGAACAAAATTCAATATGGATCCAAAATTTGATTTCATAGGGAAAGGAAATATGGCATTGGTGGATAAGGTCAAACCCAATATGTTTGGTCCTTTGTCTGATAAATATCCATCAATTTATCCTCGAGGAGAATCTATAGAAATACCTGGATGGATAGCATTTGATAAACAGGTGAGTTTCTTGAAGGAAGGATGGATGAGATTGGCCACAAGCACTTTGAATTCATATAAACATTCAAACGGGTAACATGTGGATGAGATTAGAGTTAAAAGAGGATCTATTTTCAACAACCAACGTTCGATTAATTCTTGCTATGGAGAACGTGATAGAGTTGCACGATAAAACATACATTTTTATTGTTCCTTAGTCCTCACCCACAAGTTTAGTTTCAAAAATGTTATCGTTTCTGAGGGAATGGTCGATGGTTTCCAAAAAAACTATACAAAAACCCAAAATTGGTCAATTAAATGCTAATAACTTCGAATCTTAACAGAAATGTCCGGTTTTTTTAATTTATTTTAGTAGTCTTTTGTGTCCCCAATCGTACTAGAGTAGTTTGAAGCACCATAGTGTCCAAAAAAGTAATGTACAGAGCATTTAAACTTTACAAAAAAAGAAAGAAAATAAAAAATCTGACCTTTGATGCCAATTAAAAAAATAAATAAAATACATTCAGGTGTTCAGACACCTTTAAAAACATGCTTAGTTATTGCTCTTTCGTTTGTGGTATCATTTACCTAGCTAAGTCTTAAACTTTTTTAATTAGGGTACCTGAACCAGTTAAAGATCGTAAATATGTTTTTTTGTGGAATTAAAGAAAAAAATGTTTTGTATTGTAAAAATTTATTGTTGGTGTTCAAAATGTCCTCCACCATTGCGTATACACTTTCTACAACGATTTCGTACTTCAGTTGTGGTTACTTTCATTTGCATTTCCTGTTTCATAATTTCAAACGCTGCCTCTATTCGCTGAAGTAATTCTTCTCGTGTGGTGATTTCTGTTATACGAGTTCTTTCACCCGATCCCACAAAAAAATCCAACGGAGTCAGGTCGGGCGATCTGGCAGGCCAGGGGATGGGTCCGTCTCTCTCGATCCAATATTGGCACTTCGGCATCATAGAGTAACATTGGCAAGTCGTTTATCATGAATTCGAGGTAATTTTGTTCATTCAAATTGTCAGGTGTGGGCCAACCAATGTGCGTCCGATGACCCCAGCCCACACATTTATTGAAAATTGTCTTTGGAAAGAAGTCTGAAACAAAAATGCAATAAAATTAGTTAATTTAGGTAATTGAACACGTGTTGAACATGGGTAATATAATAATAATAATAATAAAAATCATTTATTTACCTGTTTTTTCCAATTTGGATTGTTGTCCTTATCAGCCCATTCATGAAGGTTGTGGAAATTAGTAATTCCTTCCCTGGAGAACTTCGATTCGTCAGTCCAGAGGATGGACTTTAAGAACCACGCGTCGTCAATATCTGCGTTTAGCAAAAAACGGCAGAACCGTTTCCTTCAAGCCTTGCACACCCGTGCCGTGAAACGGATATTTCTTTTCGTTGTGCATCGTACTCCACATTTTCCATATCGAAAGGTTTAAATCTCTCGCTACAACTCTGATGCTGGTGGTAGGATCCTCTTCGAAGGCTGCGAGAATTTGCTCCTCAACATTGACATTATGTCTTCCTGGATTTACTGCAGGTTCAGCATGATGAATACCAGATTCAGACAGCCTACGATATGTGTTGGAAAACACACGGAGGTTAGGCACTCTGCAATAAAATAACTTATTTTTAACGTCTTTTGAAGGTGAAAATGGCAATATTTAACTACCGCTACAATTAGAAATTGATTTACCTGCGGTTCGGGTAACGTTCTTTGTACAAACGTCGTGTCGGAGATGCGTTACCATCAGCTCTGCCATACATAAGAATTATATCGGCTTTTTTATGACTCGTAAACTCAGCCATGGCAGCACACACAACAAAAAGTTCGATAGTCCAAAATAAACAACACCTGCAGGAGCGAAAGGCTACAACTGAACACAGTGAATTACAAAAATGGGTAACACAAAACCAACTTCTACTCGCAACTCGAAAGGGCAAAGCAGTGACTAGAGAACTTGTTTGGCCAACCAAACCGACCCGGCGAGGGGTCCAAGATGATTACTCAACTCAGGTACCTAAAAATTGATAAACTCAAAAGCAAATTTATGGCCCTAGCATAAGGTCTAAATCATAACAACAGAATGCATTCCAATTGATGACTAGCTTCAGGTCAAATTCTTTGTTGTAAAATGCCACCGGCACCGGCCTTTGTTCAGTTTTCTCTTCTTTCAAGTTGGGCTAAGTTCCTTATTATTCCATGTAAGTCTGAAAATAATATCGCATATTGCTTTAGGATTTTCGTTTGAAGGTTTTTGAGCTGAATTTCATTTAATTTTTTTTTAATTTTTCAAATATCCACATTTACGACCTTTAACTGGTTCAGGTACCCTAATTAAAAAAGTTCAAGACTTAGCTAGGTAAATGATACCTCAAACGAAATAGCAATAACTAAGCATGTTTTTGAAGGTGTCTGAACACCTGTATGTATTTTATTTATTTTTTTAATTGGCATCAAAGGTCAGATTTTTTATTTTCTTTCTTTTTTGTGAAGTTTAAATGCCTGTACATAACTTTTTTGGACACAATGGTGCTTCAAACTACTTTAGTACGATTGGGGACACATAAGACTACTAAAATAAATTTAAAAAACCGGACATTTCTGTTAAGATTCGAAGTTATTAGCATTTAATTGACCAATTTTGGGTTTTTGTACTAAAAATCGTAAAAGTTCCCTTTAAAATAAAAAACGCGCTAGAAAATGAAAATGTTTGTATGAATATGTTCTACATGGGCTAGTGTATCACCCCCTTGAAGGTTTGCACCTAGCTACCAAACATCCTGTATATATATATGCGGTTGTAATTGGCCGGGACATCGATTCAATATTACGGAAAACTATATGAATTATTAGCTCTCAAAGCTGATGTCGTAACAGTAAAATCATGTACTAGCAATATTTTCAAATTAAATGACACCCGTTTTCTCATTTCTCTTTAGATTCTATGTTTCGACGGTTTTTTTCAAGAAACTCTCCAAGAACTGAGAGGATCTCCGTTTCAGATCAGGAAGGTGAAGATCTATTTTTTTCTAGAGGATGGAACAATCCAAGTAGTTGAACCAAGAGTCGAAAATAGTGGGGTAGCACAAGGTAATCAGTAAACTTTTCAAAATGTATAAACAACTCTCAATGCCATTCGTGAATTTGATGAACTAGGTTGATAAAAATAAATGTTCAAAATGAAGTTAAATAACATGTGAGAGATAGGTAGATATATGCATATTATCATGAGCTCCTCTTCCATTGGAATTTCGAATAGGCAAGTAGGTATTTATTTCACATTATATCAAGTGAATTCCTTAAATAAACTCAAGACCCAAATAATGATATGAATATAGAGCATTTGTTGCTTTCAATAGTTCATTGGTGAAATTACAGGTGGAAACATTGATCCCAATTGAAAATAGTAGGCTTTAATATTATTATTGAAATCTGATCAAAATTTTCTTGAGATGCCAAAAAAAGTGAGTCCTTATTTTCATGTTGTGCTATCTATAATCTGAATGAAATTCTGCTATATTGTTTGCATATATTGTAGACAGGGCTAAACCTAGTATTATTAGGGTTTGATCTTATTTTAGTCAAATAATTTTTTTATCACAATACATATTTAGTAGTTTCAAAAACTACCATGAATTATTAATTATTCATTCATTGATATGTCGCAAAGAAACGATTCACATTCTACGTTTTGATAAATTTTTAAAGTATCATCTGGATATATAACCAATTTTGCAATAATATACGTAACGATAATTTTATTTGGAATTAAATATGGAAAAAATCAAAATATATCACAGCAGAATCAGTTATCCATGCCAACAATAATTGTTATTTCTACTATTTCTGTAATCATTTGAAAAAAACCCTTTTGAGATATCGAACTCTGAAATGCTCAAAAACATTAACAACAAATAATAGCCTATTCGGAAATAAAAATCAAATAAAACCAACCTCAGACACGCAAAATATTTCAGTTTTGAGGGGCAATTATGTCTTCCTTTAATATAAATAAAGTTCTCAACAAATCACGTCAAATTTTCGTTTACCTATTTCTTGTAATTTTGCAACTATAATGACAATGAACTTCTCTGCCTCTTGACGATTTGCCTTCGCTTTCTTCTTGTTGGAAGCTCCTGATGCCTTTTTTGATATGATAATACTTGTAATTAGTGTTAATTCATTTATAAATCCCCCAATCATAATCTGAATGGAACGCAAGTTTACCACTTTGATTACTGACTGAGATGAAACATGTGGCTGTCAATAAACGAAACACAGAGTTGCCAACAGAAAATCATACTGCGAGAATATCCCCGTCCTGTTCAAGTGTTTCTTTATATGGATATACACAAATGGTCAATTAAAATCCACGATAGAGTGCACACATTGTGGACACTCATCTGTAACCCTCAATCCTTTCTGGGATTTGTCACTCCTCATACCACAAAGAACTGGCCAATTGAGGGTATCACAGTGCTTGGATTTCTTTACAAGAGAGGAAACTTTGGATGGACATGAAAAACCGACGTGTTCAAGTTGTAAGGAAAGAAGAAAATGCACAAAGTCTCTATCAATCCATGAGTTTCCCCGTATTTTAGTCATTCATTTTAAAAGATTTTCTCTAACAAAAAGATTTAGGCAAGTTAAATGTTGCCATCGAATTTTCTCCAGATGAATTATATATGAACAATTATGCAGCAGACAATGTGACTTCTTGTCGTTATAATCTATATGCACTTTAAAATAACAGTGGGTCTACCTACAGCGGACATTATACAGCATTCTGCAAACATCCTTATATTGGCACGTGGCACGAATACAAAGATTCACACGTGTCACCAATTTCACAGAAATCGCTTGTGAGTGGAGATGCATATATCCTCTTTTATGAAAAGGAGGAAACGAGTTCGCACCTTTGAGAGTTTTGAAAAGTTATTTTCGAACTGTTGATTTCAATGTTATAATGAATTATATATAATCCGCAAATTTTCTGGTTTATTGGGTAATTGAACTTGACATTGAAATTTATGTTTTGGTTGTGGAGTCGTTACTAATTTTGATGATGTCTCTGACGATCCTCAAAAATTGGCGCCTGGGGCGCGTGCCCTTCCCGCCCACTTGGATCCGTCCCTGATTGCAGACTCTCTCATTTCGTACGATATTTGTTTGTAACCAATACTACACAAAATTCGTACTTTGATGTTTTTTATTGATTTATACCGCCCTAGTACAAGAAATAGACATATGAATTTAATTATATCATCGAAAGGTATCAGACATCACCTGAAAAGACTATTGATACAGTCAAATTCTTAAGGAAAATTGACCTTTCTTCTGCTTTCAATCGTCTGTTCAAATCTGTTTGAAATCTGTTTTTCCGTTAACCAGCTGTCCCACCCATACGAACGACAACCCTCAGAAGTCAAAACTTGTGCGAGTTAAGGATTAACGAGGTCTTACCTTTTAACGTGTGATTCCTAACACGGTCTAATTTGATAATTTGTTCTAAGTCTCCAAAACACTTCACCAACTCATGAGCATATTGTATTTTCCTTCCATTTTTTCAAATTTGTTCCCTTACCTGATTCGTACAGATTTTTTAATATCATTTGCATAAGTTATGACGAGTTGCAATCCTTCTTTTGTTGCGTTGCCTGTAGACAAGATCTACATTATGTAACTCTATTTCTTTCAGGTGTCCTTTGAATGGTAACTATTCACTAAGTATCTCCTTCCTCGTTATGAGCCGATTCTTGCTCTGATCTTCAGTTCTTTTCTGAGAAGGTTTTCCCAACTTCGTAAAGACCCATTTCCTGATATGATTCCTGGATTTGGTTCAGAATCCATGATTCGTGTCTAGCACAGATATCAACTTTTTCGTTACCTGTGATTCCTGATCAACTTTTGAAAGTGACGATTATGATATAAATTTTATTTGTTTGGCAGGTCCTCAATAGCTCTTTTTCGGTTGGTGGTGGTTCCGATGTAGCGTAAAGAAGGAGCAGGTTCTTCCTAACCTAACATCAAGTTATTGGTAAAAACGATAATTTTTATCGACAATTAGACACATTTTTGGAATGTATATCAATCAAAAAGCTTTTTCCGGATCACTTCTGATTCCATTATTGTTTCTTGTGAACTTGGCGATTCTTAATGTCTCATGACCCATAAATTTCATAAGGATGTCTAGAACTTCTTATTGTGTTGTAAGTGTTATGTGTTGGCTCATGCCACTCTCATAGACGTGACGATATTTCAACTTTCTGTAGCTTAATTCATTGATTTCGAATGAAAATTCAAAGATCTTTGCTCTTTGGGAAAAAAGAGGTCAAATCATATATTTTTCGCATTAAGTCAAAAGTTGTAGTTTTCGATCTTAGTCATCTCCCATGATAAATATACTGTTTCGACGTTTTCTGTAGGCAAGCAAGCACAACTCGTTTGAAAGTGTCTGTTACCTGTTGCTCTTTCATCCACTTGGTGAATTTGGTTTGTTTCTATAAGCATCTTCTCTGATGTCTTGCGATATCAAATGCACAGTTGTTATGACTGTCACTACAGTAATAACTGTGGTGACAGAAATAATCTTATGACAAGTTGCAAATTGATTGCAACGAAAGGTATAGTGATGATTCATAATGATTGCAAAGCCAATACAAATCTATCGTGGTCGTTCTCGATAAATTGTGTACGTTTGATAATATGCCTACCTACCAGTAGATATTCAATTTTTTTGAGTGTGCTCAATAATTTACATTTCAATTTGAAACATCCTCCACCCCTTTGAAATATATTTTCCAGGTACTCTTATATCTCGGCAAAGGATTCGTTTTCCACCACCAATGGACGATAACTTTTACGATTTCACTGATTTCAATATCGGCAGAGAAGTCGAACTTTACGGACGAGTCTTCAAAATTACGAACTGCGATAAATTCACTCGCACTTTCATGAATCGATGTGGCATTGCTATTGGGGATGCCATAGTTGCTCCTCCAGATCCTTACATGGAGATAAGATCACATCAAATGGATGCTATGCAACCGAAAAAACCGAATAGAACAGCTGATACTTTGGGAAAATTTCTACAGAATGACAAGAAGGTGAGTACTTGCGTTTATTTCATCATATGAAGCGAAATTTTTTTCAATAAATATTCTCACCTTAACTTGATATTTTTTTCAAAACACGTCATTTGACCACACCTCTTTCAAATTCGTAATACTGAAAGTGAATGTGAGGCTTCCAGTTTTTTTGAGGAAAATTGATTTTTTGCACGAGCTGAGTTCAGTTTTCGATGAGCTGAGCTGAGTTCAGTTTTCGATGATTAGATGGACGTATATATCGAGTGGTCCAACGAAAAGTATGCACCTTGCTTTTTTCCTTTTTTGTAACTTAACGCAAAAATGCTTGGACAGGTCAATTTTGCTTTTGAGGGGGACACATTTGAGATGTATTTTTATACCTGTGCCTTCAACCCCCAGCGAGGGTGAGTAACAACCCTAAAATTTTTAATGGAAAGCGGGGTCGAGTGATATATCATTTGAAAGGGCACAAAATTCTCTTTCCAATGATACCTAATTTGTTGTATTTGCTTGAATAGTTATAAAAAAAGCAAGAACATTTACTCGGTATTTTTGGTATTAATGAAAATGCGAAAAAACGGCATTTTTATCACTACTACATTCCTCAATTTCTCTCGTGCGTTTTTTGGTTCAAATAACAACAACAGATAAGTGTACAAAAAGAATTTAGGCAAACGTTCATTGATTCAGTTCGGTTGCTTTTGAAATTATTTCAACTTTACTGTAAAAATGGTTTATTCCATTCCTGAACGAGTTGAAACTGTTAAACATTATTATCAACATAATAGGTGTGCTAGACTTACTGCTCGCCTCTTTAATAACAGTCATCCCGGGAAAAATGTGAATGATTCGTACGTTGCTAAGTTAGTCCAAAAGTTTGTCGATACCGGATCTGTCTGTAATGTGAAACACCAGCTACGGAAACCGATCAGAAATGAAGCAGTGGAAGTTGCTGTTATGGGACATGTTGAATTGTATCATACTCAAAGTACCCGTCAGCTTGCTGCAGCCTTAGGTGTCTCCCGTTCGTCCATAATACGGATATTAAAAGCCTATAAATTTCATCCGTACAAAATTAAATCAGTACAGGAACTCAATGAAGATGATCCTGATAGAAGGCTGCAATTTTGTGAACAACTGAGCCAGCTACTAATTGATGATCCGCACCTATCATTCAACACGTGCTTTTCCGATGAGAGTACATTTTTTTTTGAATGGAGCTGTGAATAGGTATAATTGCCGTTACTGGGATGAGAGTAACCCACACTTATTCCGAGAGGTCCATACCCAGTACCCTCAAAAAATCAATGTCTGGTGTGGCATATTAGGTAGTCATATCGTAGGGCCACTTTTTATTCCTGGGAATTTAACTGGTGAGGTCTACCTGAACATGCTCGAAGATACAATTGATCCTCTCTCAACAGAAATAATTGAAAATGACCAAAATCATAATGATGATCGGCTTCATTTCCAGCAAGTTGGAGTACCTCCTTACTATGTTGCTCCGGTAAGAGAGTTTTTAGATGACCGGTTTCCTGGACGGTGGATTGGAAGGAGAGGCTCCATCGAATGGCCTGCCAGGTCACCTGATTTATCGCCTTTAGACTTTTTCCTTTGGGGACACTTGAAAAATAAATGTTTTGTTATGCAGCCCGAGTCCATAGAAGATCTTCGCCAACGAATTACAGCAGAGTGCAGAAGTATAACACCTGATATGCAACAGAATGTTAGGAACAGATTTGAACAAAATCTATATTATTGTATGGAAGCAAATGGGTCACATTTTCAGCACTTGCTGAAGTAGGATTCTACTGAGTCAATCACACATTTCAAAGTACTGGGTTGTAGTTGTTTTTCTTCATGATACCTACATGTTTGAGTGAAATACAACAAATCAGGTATCATTGGAAAGAGAATTTTGTGCCCTTTCAAATGAGATATCACTCGACCCCGCTTTCCATTATGAATTTTAGGGTTGTTACTCACCCTCGCTAGGGGGTTGAAGGCACAGGTAGAAAACTGCATCTAAAATGTGTCCCCCTCAAAAGCAAAATTGACCTGTCCGATCATTTTTGCGTTAAGTTACAAAAAAAGGAGAAAAGCAAGGTGCATACTTTTCGTTGGACCACTCGATAT